CTATGTCGATCCTTAAAAGAGGACAATTTAAAAGCATCTCATCTTACTTCTCAGATTCATCAGATTGTAAGTCTTTAAAATATACACACACTCGACGCAACAAGCATGACTTCCTCTAGAAAGGCTGAAACCTGCAGCCAGACTTTAGCATTTTGATATTAAACATAGAAAAAGATGAAATTATGATCTTTTAAAACCATAATCATTAAGGTTCACACACTTTTTTATTAACCTGTCTGTGTAAGTCACTTAGCATGAAAACAGAAAGTAACAGCATCAACAAACAGGCGGTCAGTGTTGGAATGAAAAAAAAAATGAATTTGGCTTTTTGTAACAAAGTGTGTAGTGGGTTTTTGGAAAAACTGCTCCGCATTAAAATCAGGAGAGGTGGTTAAAAAATTGAGATTCTTATCCTCTGAGATTTTTAATAGATTCATAACATTTGTTTGGCTACTCAGTCACTCCCTTGCTACCTGAGCTCTTTAACTCAGTAGAATGCCAAATGGAGCAACAAGAAATTCAGCCAGTCTCGCAGATGACTGGGGTAGATCCTGAAGTATTAATTCATGAATAGACTTTGAATTATGAATCCAGAATCGTTTTGAATCGAAAATAGATTCTGAATTAAACCATGACCCAAAAAATCGAATCGTTAGACACTCAAAGATCTTTCCCTTTTTTTCCAGTCTTAATGTTCAGCTCATCTTATTCAGCTTTTTGGCGTTATTACGATGCAGTGAGATACCATACGATATGATGCGAAACAATACCGAAACAATAACAATTCTATAACGATATGAACTTGTTGTATTTGAGGCTTGAGGTTTTCATGTGGTCCGTCCTGCCTGATTAAAATCTTTAGGTTTAAGAGTCCAGTGCCAGATATCAAAAGAATGGCTAGGTTCAGATTTATAGCTTGATTAGAGAAGTACATTAGTAGTTCACAGTATTTAGTAGTAGTAGTCCTCTGATGTTTTTTTCTTATATAAAATTGGCCAGGCATTCTGAAAGTTTCACATCTGCTTTTGCTTTTCTGTGTTAATATCTGATTGCTTTCTTTAGACCATCGGCCCTTTATACAAAGAATAATATTCTCGCTCACCTTCCTTTACATGCAAACTAAAGAGCACCAGAGAGAGCATAACAACAAGGATTAAGAAAGTGACTCTACATTTCTTGATAGGTTTATTGGGACATCTGTTAATGTAATGACAGCCCAAATAGAAAGAAATAGAAGAAGACTGTAAGTAGAAGGGAATAAAGGTCATGGAGAGTTGTCATATGAGGGATGAAAAGGAACATGAACATGTCATGGAGAGTTTACTTCATACATAAAGTACCAGAGAACAGGCTTGAGCCAGGCTCCAAAGAAGAGGGGGTTTCTTCTGTAACTAAGAGGAGTCACGTTTCATCTGTTTTGCACAGATCTTAAATATCAGCTCATTTTGATAGACTCAGAGTACATTTCCCCCGCTCTCTGGTCGGCCTCCAGCAACATGTAGAAGCATAAATCTCAGTCCCCTGATGATATCTCTCCGTCAGAAACACGGGCTGCACGTTGAAAAAAAGCACACTGTACATTGAACTTTATCTCCGCAGGGCTTTCACTTTAAAAAGCTCAATAAATTTTAGCCTATCATTATGACATGTTTGCTGAACAATAATTGAAAGCTGATGTTCGACCCTGAGCACATTTGGGGTAGCACTCTATTTGTTGTGTTGAAACATTGACGTTCAGTTAGTAATCAAAGCTACACACACAGACAGTGTAATGTCTTTATAATTTAATACTTTGTAGAAGAATTAAGTCTCTTGGCCAGACACAGTTACTCCAATTACTTTCCCATTACTCTGTCTGGAAAGCAGAAGATGACTGATGAGGTGAACGTCGTCTCATCAAAGCCTCGCTCCTCCGAGTCCTCCTTCAGAGGAAAAAGTGAAGAGTAAGGAGTGATAAGAAACTCTCAGCATAATGTTCCAGTCGACTGTTCATTTCATGTACTCACCTCATGATGATGAACAGGAAACGGGTTGATTTTAGCGTTAAACTTTGGTGTCCTGCAGTTCATCTGTGGAGAGATGTATACTGTGTGGATTTATAAAAGAAAGTAGCTGCATGAGGAAGAATTAAAGACATGAAACAAGAAGACAATAAAGAACACTGTCTCCTCTTTTTATTGCATAGCAAATAATAATAATAATATTTGAAGTAAAACATTTGAAAATAATTATACCATTGATCATTTTGCAAAAGCTTCATGTTGTATGACTCAATAATAATGGCAGTGCTGGTCAGCCTGTCTGCCTGACAGCTTGTAATTAAAGGTGTAGTATGTATCTCAAATATCTAAATGAATAATTAATTGTCTCAGCCTATGTTATATATACAGTATATATATAACATAGGCTGAGACATATATACATATATATATATACAGTTATCAAAACCAGAGAAATCTGTCATTTCATAGTTGTAACAGGACGTCTCTTGATGAGCCGCCATGACAGACTTAAAATGCTGATCGTTTCCATGGAAACACGGGATGTTACATCAAAAACCGCTGCATAAGGAAGCGTGATCTGCTGCTGAAAGCTGCCATACTGTTACTGTATGCTGCTGTGATAAAAAACTTAATGTACATTATGCTCGGATACATTTGTCTGTAAAAATATTCTCTCTCAGGTCGGTTTCGTCCGTTCGTGTTGACTTTTGATTCCCCGCTAGCCTCGACGTCATCTTCTGTTATTGCTTTGATTGAGAGCCCCCTGGCGGACAATTTTACATAATGTGCGGCAATAAAGAAATGATGAAGTTAAGATAGACTGTTAATTACAAGTTTTATACTGAAAAGCACAGTAAGGATGAATATCTGGTGTTGAAAACTTGTGCAGCTTTAAGCACATATGTTGTCCTTAACCTTCCCCCAATGTGTCAGACATTAGATCATAAAAATGATTTTTCTGCCAAAAGCTGCATCCAGCTTCCTAAACGAGCTCGTCTTCTAAAGCAGCTCATCCTGAAGATTCAACAGGACGTGTTTTTGTCGGCTCTAAGCTTCAAACTCTGACGTATTCATAAAGACAACATGTGTTTCATGGCATCCTCCTGTCCTGGTCCTGACCTGTGTTTTAATGGAGGTCGTCTCTTTTCCTCGCCAACCATGTGTTCCTCTTTTGTCTGCAGAGAAAACGTTGCATTGTGGGAAGTGTGGGGCGTTTTGACTGCAGCAATGATGGGGTCTATCATCCCCACGTGTGAAATCATGTTCAATTTAGAAGATCCATACTTGAGGATCATTCCCTCACTGGGTTCAGATCTGAAAAAGATGTTTGACAAATTAGCTCCAGCACCACGGCTCAGGGAAACACGGAGAGACAACAAGCTGCTTTCAATTAACAGTGAAGCTCTCCTTTGAGTCTGTCTCTACTTTCCTACATGACGACTTTGAGTACAGAAGGAAAGCCTTTCATTTGACTTAATACCATCCTTCTTCCCCACGTGTTCCCCCTGTCACAGCCGGTAATACTTCAGATTAAAGAGTTCTTAAAGCAATACAGTGTGGGAAATGAAATAAAAGATATGAAGTCAACAGGATGAAAACAACACAACAATAAAGAAGAGGAGGCACTAAAAGCAAAGTGAAGATAAAAAGGAAGGATAAAAGATAGATGGATACAGCAAAGCAACAGAGGACGGAAGAGTTCAACATTAAGAGAAGGAGTAGGAACGGATACAAGACTAGGAGCAGTGACATGAATAATGGAAAGGATCAATGAAAAGGCGAAAACGATTGAAGGAGGATTAAGAACGGATAAAAAGATGAAGAAGGGATAGATCAATAAAAGCTTTGAAATGTGAAATCACATAAAAGCTACTAAAAGCTCCGAATCTCTTCCAGAGCAGGTGAGGCAAAAAGAATACAAAAAAAAACATTTTACTGATATGTAAAAGAGAGAGAGTCACATTAAAATGATTATTCTACCTTTGTAAATATATAACTATTATAAAAGTTATGTTTCAAAATGAATAGTTTACTGTTGCTTTTACCAAATGTAGTGATTTACAGTGCACACATTGTGCAAACAAGCAAAGGGTGATTTATTCCAGCTCCATGCTGTGATGTAGATGTACTGACTTGATATGAAGTGTCTGGGATGAACATTAAAAGAGGTCAAAGGTCAGTGATGCTGTGTTTGTGCAGGCTCTGTCCGTGGTGCTGGATCTGCCCATCGTCACTTTAGGTCCACTAACTCGATCTGGTGGGTCCATCACGCTGGATTTAAACGTATAATTAATATTGAATAAGTTCTGGTTATGAGTTATCAATACTGTGTTGTCTGCTCATTGCATTAAAAGAGGCAGAAATGTGACTTTTAATTGCATGTGCAAATGTATGCCGTTCAAACTGTGTAACAAGGTCACACATTTATACGAGGTGGCACTTTAAAAAAAGATGAAACATGCTTAAAATACAAGAAGTACTTAACAAAACAGCAATATCTCTTAAAAAACATTTAGAGTTATTTCCCTATGATTTAACATTTGAGGGTGATTTTTGCAGAGCTTTTGGTATCTGCCTTGGTACGGACTTTTAGGTATTTACAGAAAAGTGTATTAACTTAAATAAATATTTCAGTTCCTGCCGTCTTTTTCTGCTATCACAAGAAGCTTCAGGCTTTTCCAGTTGAAGTATTACGACAGGTTTCTGTGTAAAAGTCATTTTTTTAACCCCACTATTAAATCAAAAGATATTTCATAGTGATCCCAGCTCCCAGATGAGATGCAAAGATACAGTTTTATGATTTTACAGTTCTGATACATTTATTTTTAATACCCCCATCTGTCCATGCATTCCTGAAGAAAAGAGGTGTGTCTCGGCATAACTATCATTTCCAAAATATGTCTACCATTTGGATGGCAGCTCAGTGTTACAAACCCCAGGCCTCTGCGAAAGGTCACAGCCCTACATTCATCCATCCTGACATTCATATTTTCACAGGGCCCAGCAGGACTGCAGCTAACACCTGGCTGGATTCTGTGCATGGCCACCGTCCCACTCATGGCATCGGAAACGACCCAGAAAAGCAGCGTAAAGTAGAAGGGAAGCTGGGTGGAGGAGGCGCAGGCCAGGGGGAGCAACGACCTTCATACTGAGAGGAGAAAATACCTGAAAGTGAGCAAATTATGTGTTTGGAATTGTGGAGAATAGTTTAAGAAATTGCCAATTAAAGTGTGATTAAGGACGAAATGCACACACAAAAAGATGCTTGGCATGTTGAGCCATAGTTGTTTTTTTTCCATTAATATCTACTTTGAAACATAATTTATTGGACAGTTCGACATTAACCTTGTGATGTTTATTGTCTTGGTTGGCTTTCTTTTTGCGTGCTTTGTATCTGGATCACACTGATTGTTACAGATCAGGAAGTGTGTGCTAAAAATAACCTACAGTAGGAATATTCAGCCTGAAACCACTTAGCTTGCTTTTTTTAATAATTGTCCAGAAAGAAATGTAAGCAAGACATATTTTCATTAATTCATCTCTCCGACAGCTTGGGCACACAAACAGCTCAGCACCGTTAATATATACATTCAGCCTTCAGAGTTTATTATCACGCCGCGCTCTTGGCAGATCTTAGCTGATCTCTTCAGGTCGAACATGTTCAAAAGATTAAGGATGATGTTTAAACGTGACCACGGGACCTCTTAATTATGATATATATGTTTTAGCAGCATGAGCTTAGTGTAATTCACTTCAAGGATATGAGACTCCGAGGCTTTTTCACAGCATGTTTGAATAGACATGTAATCAAAAGGAAGGGAGGACGAGAGGAAAATCAGACAGTGAGTTGTTTATGTTTCTCTTTTGGTTTGACCACAGAGGGATTCATAAGACCTCTCCTCAGCTGAACAGTGCAGCCTGCTGGTCGTAGAAATTATGAACACATATTTACTTTAGTGTGTGTGTGTGTGTGTGTGTGTTAATAAACTACAGATGAATCTAACACATTTAAATGTATAATGCATTTTTTAATAGTCAAAGTCAAAAGTCAAAGTCAACTTTATTGTCAATTTCAAAATATGCCAGACATACAGTGGAGTCGAAATTGCGTTTGTCTCCGTCCCGCGGTGCAATACAACCAAAATAAGGTAAAAAAAAGATAAGGTAAAAATAGATAAAATAAAATGAGGTGAAAATAAGATAAATAATATTTACAGTAATAAATTCTAAATTGTGCAAAAGGTACAAAATGGTAAATAAAATAAAATACAATTTAAAGAAAAGGTAAACTTGTGCAATATGTGCAATGTGCAGTAAACTGAGTGTACTTTTGAGATGTTAGCTTCAGAGTTATTAGTCCAGAGTTCTTGGTGGCAAACGGGAGGGGGTTTCAACGTCCAGTGTTGAAACCCCCTATTTATAATAGTCCCTTTTGGGATTTGTAAAAGTAAATTTAGCAACCATGTAAAATGCCTCTCCAATCCAATAACTCAGGATACTAGTTTTGACTAATAGTTCAGCCTGTAATAACAGTTGTATAACGTCTGTTTTTGCTATATATGATGATGTCATAGTGATGTCATCAGGGTAATTTCTGCTCTGGCTTGGAGACTTACAAAGTTTTAACATGAAGACTTGTATTATAAAGGCATAGAAGGGTTACAAAACAATATGTTGATGCATTGTTGGAATTGTAGGATTTTGTGATTTAAAAAAAAATGACCCTTTATTTTTGTAACAACATTAGCTTATTTAATCATTAGCAACAACATTTTTTGAAAAGACAGTTTTAAAAGCTGAATCAATGTAAGATGTAAGAAAAGAGTCTGCACATAAAGGGTAAAATTTTAGCATTTTGTCTTCTCTTGTGCAGAAAAATGGCAGCAGCTCCCCTCCGTTCGCTCTGTCTACTCATCACAGTATACCACCTGTGTTCAGTCCACCTGGTCCATGCTGGAGCGTATTATCCACACAAACAGCCGCCCCCACAGCACCAGCCGCTGCCACAATACAACGACGGTTATCCCCCTCAGCAACAGTTCATGGGGAATGAGATGCCGCACCTGCCTTACGGTAAAGAAGCGCCATTACTGCCTCAGTACGGCAAAGAGCTTCCTCAGCTTCCTTTGCACATGGGCAAAGAGAGGCCACTAACTGAAGGCAAAGGTGAGGTCAACTAGTTTGTGAGAAACAATGATGACACGGAAATCAAACCGCAGGTCGAATGGCTTCAGGACATTTTACAGTTCAACCCGTCTTTGCTTTATAATGCTTAATATTTATACATTTTTCAATTATTACACAGGGAACCGATCCGTTGGGATTATAGGGTAATATTTGAAGAACATTTCAAAATTGACCACAAATTTTTTTTTTCAGTGGCAAATTTTCCGTTATGACTTTTTCTTTATTGTGTTTTTTCATTTACGACCTTTAGTGAACACAGGATACTATTGGATATATAGCTTCATCTTTTATAAGTTTGACAATTATAAGAGAAGAGACCCCTCACTAGAAGTAAAGGGTGATATTTGACTGCCAACATATATACACCGCTCCCTAACTCAGGTATAAGGACAGAAAATGTTTATTGACAAACAGGCTTCCCCGTGAACAAAAGTGTCCTCAAATCCCGTTATCACGTTTAATTTAAAGAAAAATGTGACACACAGGCTACATAAATCCTAGATCCATAAATTGAGGCCTGTTTTATCACCATAGGCCACCATAGGCATCTAATTTAAAAAGTCGAGTAGCAGCTTTAAAGATTTAAACTAAAAGTATTAAACATTGTCAAGATTATTTTAATGATTATTTGTGATTAAGGTGTTTTTTAATCCATATATACTGACTCATTGGGTCAAAGTTCACCTCTCTCGAACCAAATGTTCTCTCTGTTGTCAGGACAAACATTCAACCCCAGAGGGGCTAAAGGTCCCCCTCCTCTTGGTCCAGGTGGTGAAGGTCTCAGAGAAGGACCACAAGGAATTCAGGGACCACCAGGACCAACTGGACCACCAGGACCACAAGGCCCTCCTGGGCTACCAGGCCAGGGATTGCCAGGGCTGCCAGGAAAGCCAGGGCCTCCTGGTCCTCAAGGCTACCCTGGAATTGGAAAACCTGGCATGCCAGGATTGCCTGGAAAGCCTGGAGGACCAGGATTACATGGACCAAAAGGGGATCTTGGTCCTGCTGGTGGTGAAGGGCCAACTGGGCTTCCTGGGCCCGCAGGTCTCCCAGGTCCCCCTGGACTCCCTGGAATTTCAAAACCAGGAAGTCATGGGCTGCCTGGACAGCCAGGTCCTCTTGGGGAACCAGGCCCAAAAGGTCTACCTGGGTTCCCCGGTGTTTTAGGCTCAAAGGGAGACAAAGGGCTTGGTCTACCTGGTTTGCCAGGTTTAAAAGGACCTGGCGGACCACCTGGTCCACCTGGAAATGTTGGCATCCAGGGGATTGGTAAACCTGGCATGAATGGTCTCCCTGGTCAGCCAGGGATACCAGGAAAGCCAGGTCCTTCTGGAGAGCCTGGGATGGCAGGACTACCTGGTGATAGAGGTCAACCAGGACCGCCTGGCCTACCTGGACTTGGGAAACCAGGAACAGATGGTTTTAGAGGACAACCAGGGCTCTCTGGAGGAAAAGGAGAAACAGGCCCTCCTGGTTTACCAGGGGGGCCAGGCTTGCCAGGATATGGTAAACCAGGATTTCCAGGACCTAAGGGTCACAAGGGTCATGCCGGTCTCCCTGGACCTCCAGGACTAAAGGGTGATAAAGGTCACGGAGGTCTTCCAGGAGTCATTGGCCCAAACGGTCCAAGTGGTATGCCTGGCCCACCTGGTCCAATAGGACTTCCAGGCAGTATCGGCTTTCCAGGACAAAAGGGGGAGGGTGGTGCTTGGGGACTTAAAGGGTACCCAGGAACGAAGGGGGACTTAGGTCCTCCTGGTCTCCCAGGTCAACCAGGTCGGTCAGGAGAAGGGGGACAACCAGGCCAAAGAGGTTTTCAAGGGCCTATGGGCCCCAAAGGAGAACCCGGTATGAGGGGTTTACCTGGAAACCCTGGTGGTGGAGGATTGCCTGGATCTAGAGGACAGGGGGGACAGCCTGGAGAGAAAGGCCACCAAGGATCACAGGGTATTCCAGGTCTTATGGGACCTGGGGGACCAATTGGACCTCCTGGGCTGCCAGGACCGAAAGGCGAAACAGGTTTCCCTGGTAAACCTGGATATCCTGGTGAGGGTAAGCCAGGGACCCCTGGTCATATTGGTCCTCAAGGTAACCCTGGTCCTAGTGGCCCTTCTGGACTTCCAGGGCAACCAGGACTACCTGGACCACCCGGTCCTCCAGGCCTCCCTTCAGCATCTCCAGACATGGGACAGATCCTCCCTGTGTCCGGCCCATACAGCGGACAGAAACAAGGCTGGAAGAAGACAAAGAATGAAGGCGAGATTGGAGGAGTCGCCCTGGAGATGCCTTCGTTCACGGCTAAGCTCACAAACCCGTTCCCTCGTGTCGGCTCCCCCGTCATCTTTGACAAACTCCTACACAACGGCAACCAAGACTACAATCCCCAGACTGGTATCTTCACCTGCAGCTTACCAGGGATCTACTACTTTGCTTACCACGTCCACTGCAAAGGAGCAAATGTATGGGTGGCACTGATGAAGAACAATGAGCCGGTGATGTACACATATGACGAGTACAAGAAGGGCTTACTGGATCAGGCATCGGGGAGTGCTGTACTACCTTTGCGACAAGGAGACTCTGTGCATATACAGCTGCCATCCGACCAGGCTTCAGGACTCTACGCTGGTCAATATGTCCACTCCACATTCTCTGGTTTCTTGTTGTACCCAATGTAAGAAATGTGTATCAAGAAACCAGCAACTTCCAGTGTTGAAAAATCAAGCCAATGAGGATGTGCAAAAAGCTGCAGTTCCTTGAGTATCCACTTGAGGCTGGATCAAAAAGCCAAGGAAACCCCATGAGGTCCCAAATTAAGTAGCCCTCTTTCCCAGCAGAAATAAAACATGTTTACAGCCTGGTTCAAAAAGGCTTTGGTATCAAGAGCTGATTTCTTTATTGGTGCACACTGTACGGGGTTGAAATTTGTTTATAACTCTTCTGTTTTTATTTTATTAAGGCTAAGAGTTTTTTGTCATAAATTTGTATAAGTATGGGCACGGCTGGGTTGACTGACAGGCAGGCGGTTGAAGCTGTTTACCCTTAGGCTAAAGACCGGCCTCTAGTCCATGTATTTGTCTGTTAGTAGTTGTCCAAAAGTTATGACAACTGCCATCGTTTGGCTTCAAAATGCCTCTACAAAACCAATGGCTGACATCAATGAGAGTGCATCCATGTTTTATACAGTCTTATCATATCAGCAAGGGCAATAGCACTGACTTTTTAATGGTACATTTTCATATTTACAGTAGTTAGACAGGTACAATGAAGGTCGAGTTGAATGTTTTACAATAGATGAAGGCAAAATAGAAATATAGTTGCAACATATCTCATTGTATTAATATCATTTAATGCTTTACATTTTCATTTACATACATCAGCAGAGTCTCTGAAATGTTAGTTCACTTTTTAAGGAATGGGCAGTTGATGTCCAGTTATAAAAATGGTATCTGGTCATCGGCTCCATGTATACATTTTCGTACAATAACGTTTTCTTGTGAAGGTTTTGGTTGATACGATTTAATGTATTTGTTGTCATAAATCTTGTATGTTTACATTGTACATTTATTCTTATATCCATCTACACACAATATAGCAGTGTTAATAACATGACTGGAAAAATAATTCCTGCAATCCCTGTGTTGCAGGTTTTATTCATTTGTCACTCATTGTTTTGCTTTACAGTTATACTGTTTTCTGGGCACATAAGTACATAACCATGTCAGTGTACAAGACATTCAAAGCTTTCAGTTACAAATGTTGGGTTATTAAATTGGGTTCATCATACACGTATTAGGTTAATGTAAATCTTTTTTCTGATATTGTAAAATGCCGTTTTTTTGATGCAGCAAAAATCCACAAATTTTACATTTGCATCTGGCAGTACAAAAAGAAATCATATTCTTTTATGTCTCCGTCCAGAACAGACCGAAAAAAAACCTTTGCAGTTTATCCATAATTTGACAGTCTAACTATCTTTACTTTTGACAGTTGGTTGTCAAAACGTTGTGTTTAATAAATTCTTTGAACATTTTGTAAATTTTTCATTAATCTCTGTAACTTATTTTTTTGACTACTGATTACTTCAGATTGTCTAAATGTCTGTCTTGATCTTGAATGGTGACATTTCTAACAAAACAGAACATGTTTTGTAGCAAAAAATAAAATATTCCAAGACATGTTCTATGTTTATGCTCATTCCCATTCATACTTCCATGTGTCTGTTTTTCCTTTTTTTCTTTTTCTCCTCAAACTGTGAATGTGCAATTCATTTTTTTCCTCTATTTTTCTTTACTCTGACTATGGTGCACAGCATTTAATGGGGAACTGTATTTTAAGTGTGTATATTTTTTGATTGTTTAATAAAGTCATGTTATTTCTTTTGACATAATTGTCATGGCCACATGGTCCCATGAAAAAATGATTTTCTCTGAATTAAATTTTCCCTTTCTTTTTTTCTTTATCTAGCTTGTTTGATGTTTTACTAGTAACAAATGGGACCGTTTTAAATTGGTGGCACAAACACCAAAACTGCTTTAATTCAGAAAAATAATAAATTAACAGTCAGTGGTGGAGGCCCAGCAGCAAGAGAAGTCCTGTTACGACACGTCAGGATCCTTCGACCCAGGTAAGAAAGTCCTAGTGCTCCTCCTGAGTGATGACAACAACCTGTTGGCCAATAGGAACAAGTCACTCAAGGCAGCAACAAGCGCTCTCTTTCCACACAACTGTTATAGTTTGCTGATTTAGTGATAACAAATATCACAGGGCACCAAACTAAACAAATGAAATGTGCTATTCTGTTAAGAAATTGGCTAGTGGCTCGATAAATATTTGCTTTGTATGACAATATTAACTGGCAAAGAAAATCACTATGCATGAGCAGGAAAGATCACAAGATCAACCTAGAAAACAAATCGTACTGCTTTGTCTGATGGACTATAAATACGTTATAATGATATATAATATAATATATGTAATATATATTATAATTAAATTTATTAGTATTATTATTAATAAATTGAATTTATTATTATTATTATTATTATTATTATTATTAATAAATTGAATTTATTATTATTATTCATTATTAAAAATTAAATAATTATAATTATAATTATAATTATATATATATATATATATATATATATATATATATATACATATATTATTATATGTATAATAAGTTATAATGGCTTGTTTACAAATTGACCCAAACACAAAGTTACTTCGAGAAGCTCTAATTATATAGCGATGTTTTTGTATTTAAAGTAAAAAGTTCTTGAATTAGATTTACTGTTTTCCAACAAAGTCATCATCATAATTATAGAGATTTTGTTGGAAAACCTTTTTTTTTTTTCTAACTGTATATTTGCGCAAGTGAAAAACTGACCAATCAGAGTGTGCGATGTCATGCTTCCGGTTTGCTCCTCACTTCCCCCATATGGATCCAGACAGCTCGCAGTTAGCAGCACACCTCTCTGTGTAAACCAACATATTTATCGTCGGACACTTTATTTTATGAACGACCGCAAATAAACAGTAAGTGTTTTATTATTATTCTTCTGATTAGATGTTATTATTACTGAGTTACTGGAGAGTTTGTCAACTTAGCTACCAATTTAAGCGATAGCCACCTAGCCTAGACTCCCATTTGTATGACTGAGATGAGCTAACGGTGAGCTAGTTAGTTAGCTAGCTCAGCTCACAGACACACTCACATTAACTAAGCAGGCAAGAGTGAATGACAGCTGGACAGAGGTGCTAGTTTGATGTACCTTTACCTGACGAGTTGTTATTAATATATTCATGCTTGTTATAATATCAATGTGTTTAATCTCAGAGGATTTTATTCTGCATTGACCTGAAGTGTCATACTTGATGCAGCTTTTCACCAAAGTAACCTTTCATAACATTTGTTTTCTACATCAGGTAAATCAAGTGAATGATCTGCAGATAATCTCCAGATCTCAAAGCGTAAACAAATAATATCACATGTTGAGTATTTCTCGCTTTGTGCTTTTTGAGGCTGTTTATTTTGACTGTGTTTACAAAACATCACCCCCTCCACCTTTTAAATATCATGCCTGAGCTTTACTAGCACACGACCTGGTCTACACTGTCAGCTCTTGAAATGGTCAAATCAACCTGGTTCTCTGAAATATTTTATACTGTTTCATAATTTGAATATGTACAATGTTACAATTCACTTAGACGCTTTTATCCAAAGCGACGTACATCAATTCAATTCAATTTTATTTGTATAGCGTCAACTAACAAGTGTTATCTCAAGACACTTTACAAAAAGCAGGTAAAAGACCTTACTCATTGTCTGTTAACATTACAAAAGAGCAGGTAAAAGACCTTACTCATTGTCTGTTAACATTACAAAAGAGCAGGTAAAAGACCTTACTCATTGTTATGTTACAAAGATCCGGCCTATCCATCATGATCACTTTAGCAAAGCAGCAAAAGTTACAGTGGTAAGAAAAAACTGCCTTATTAAAAGGCAGAAATCTTCGGCCGGATCCCCGGCTCATGACGAAACAGCCTTCACAGGACTAGACTGCACCGGGCTTGGAAAGGGATAGGGGGAGAGATGGGATAAGATGCAGGAAGAGGGATAGGGAGCAAGGGGGTGGGGAGGGGGGTTGAGAGAGTCAGAGAGTAAGTACAACACTAATCCATTCATACACCGTCACCGAAGCAGAGGGAGCAATGTAGGGTTAAGAGTTTTGCCCAAGGACACATCGGACATGTTGCTCAGCTGGGGATCAAACCCTCGACCTCCCGGTTGAGAGGTGACAACTCAACCAGCTGAGCCACAGCCGCCCTACTGTGTCACATTGTCTTAAATGTGTATGTTTTGTCTTTAGATATCCACCATGGCTTCTCGAGCAGGTCCGAGAGCAGCGGGCACAGATGGCAGTGACTTTCAGCATCGGGAGCGTGTGGCCTCACATTACCAGATGAGGTTGGTTCTTTAAACATGTTATTAGTATAACCGCTGATAAGAATATGTAATCACCAGAAAATTAATCCTGGGATCAAAAATCCCTCTCTGGGATTATGGCTTTAAAAAAAATGTTTTTTTTACATTTAAAAATGAAATTTAAGATGATAAATATAAATCAGTTTGGTTTTTTTTAGAACAAGAATCACTTCACTTACTGTTATAACTCATGTTTTGTGAGTTGAATTTCATTTAAGTCTGTCAAATCAAATTAGGTTTTATATATATAAAAAAAAAAAAAAACATGTTAGAATTTGATGCAGAGGTTTTTTTTAATTAGTGTGTAATTTATAAACAATGCTTTGCCGAGCTGAGTTCACCCTGACTCTTCTGGTTTTGTCTTCATGTGTCGTTTGGCACAGCGTGGCCTTGAAGTCTGAAATCCGTAAACTCAACATCGTCCATCTGTTGACCTGGGTGCTGATGGTAGCTCAGGTAACGACAAAGCTTTCTAAACATGCAAACATGCTTAATACATTTTTTTATTGGAAACATAATCGCTCATCTGGGTTGTCTCCTCTTTCTCAGGTGACAGTTAGCCAGCTGAGTCTGGTGTCCCATAAGGTTGTCGCCTCTCCGTACCAATGGGAGTACCCATACCTCCTGAGCATTATCCCCACAGTCTTCAGCTTCTTGGCGTTGCCTCGAAACAACATCAGTTATCTGGTGATCTCCATGATCAGTGCCGGGCTCTTCTGTGTGGCCCCGCTGATCTACGGCAGCATGGAGATGTTCCCAGTGGCTCAGCAGCTCTACCGACACGGCAAAGCCTACCGCTTTATATTCGGCTTCTCCGCCGTGACGGTCATGTACCTGGTGATCGTCATCGCCGTGCAGGTGCACGCCTGGCAGATCTACTACAGCAAGAAGCTCCTTGATCAGTGGTTCACCAGCACGCAGGACAAGAAGAAGAAATGAGGTCATCCCATCTGGAAAAAGAGGATTTTTTTGAAACAAGCTCTGAACTTGTATATTGAGCCAAATAAGACCAAAAGAGGAGTTTAGTTGTTTTGTTTATATTTATATTTGACAATGATGCTGTTAGAATATTAACTGTTCACAAATAATCTGTCCCTGGACTGTTTTTGGTGGTTTTCATAACTGTACTTTAAGTCTGCTGCCATTTCATCATTGTGAAAATCATACTGTAAATGTTCCCTGTCAGTCATTACCTGGATTCATCAGGTACTGACAGTGTAAAAAGGTGAACTGGAAGATGACTGAAATAACATCAATGTCCATGTTTTTGATTCCAAAAGTAAATTTGATTATTAAAAGCATAAAAATATCAATGTCTGTCTTTGCATTGTTTGTTTCCCTGTGAGATGAAAATGAAGGTTTCACTCGTTCTTTTACAGGTGAGTCTTGGTTTGAAATCTATACATGTTAATAGTTTAAATCATTCATATACTGCTGGGTTTGGAGCCCTCAGCTTCAGACTTGGCAGACATCACCTGACTCTATTCATAATTGTCTGTAAACAGAAGTTGAAGACGTCACTAGAAGGTAAATCACGTTGCTGGTGGACATGGTCCCACAGGCCGCTGGTGGACATGGTCCCACATGTTGGTGGTGGACATGGTCCCACATGTTGGTGGTGGACATGGTCCCACAGGCCACTGGTGGACATGGTCCCACAGGCTGCTGGTGGACATGGTCCCACATGTTGGTGGTGGACATGGTCCCACAGGCTGCTGGTGGACATGGTCCCACATGTTGGTGGTGGACATGGTCCCACAGGTCGCTGGTGGACATGGTCCCACGGATCCGGCAAACCAGGAACTACGAGCGTTTTGAGTGATGGTCCACCGAGAGGAAAAAAAGAGGGATATATATATATATATATATATATATATATATATATCTGTGTTGCTGTGATGTGAAAAAAAAAAACATTTAACCACAGTCTGACTATTTTCAACCATCTTTTATACTTATCTCAGAATATGTTAAAACAAACTAAATGGAAAGACTTAATCATTTGTAAATGTTTGGAAATTAAAGTGACTACACTTATAACTACTAAAAGATTGAACATGTGTTTGTAAAGTCAATATAATATGAGTGTTTTCTTTGGTATAAAAGCAGGAGTGTTTGGATAATTTCACTAATAGATCAGTCATTTAAACAACAGTATCTGTCCACAGATTATGAATCTAAAAGTGAATGTTTTATTTATTTTCGGTGTTTTGCTTAATTTTGTCATTGTGTCTCCTAATTCACAATGAGTTCTCTACGTCGATACGACCTTTACCTGGGAGTGACACGCCCACAACGTCACTTCCGCTGCTGCGCATCACGCTCAGGTGTGCACCGGACCACTCGAGCGGATGACGGCTGTCCGAGTTTGGATGAAAATGCTGCGAAAAGAAGAATTGAAGACGAAGAAGAGAAAACGTGTTTGTATGTTTGTATGCTTGTATGCTAATGCTAATGCTAACTGAACCATAACAACATCGTGTTTCTGAGAGATTCAACCAGAAGTGAAGAGAAAGTTGTTGTTTGAACTCAACATTCAGGGTTTTCTTCTTGTTTCTTTGTACAGGTGTGTGCAGGTGTTTCCTCGCTCTGTGCTGTAGCTCCGAGGTAAAATGATTTTCTAAACATTACTGTTCACAGAGCTCAGAGATTAAATGTTCATCTTGATAAAGTAATATGAATAAACTTCATTTATTTCATTTAAAAAGTAAAAGCTCTTCATCCAGCCTTCTGTGTTTAATTTACTCAAAGAAACAGCAGTCTGATTCATTTATTATTTAAGTGCAGTAACCAACAACTAACCACCAGAGGGCGCCCTCTCTATATAAAGTGATTTATAAACGATATAATGCATTTATTTTAAACCTTTAACTTTAATTAGAGTTTTTGTTCTTGTGACAGTTAATTTTGTAAGTCAATAAAGTAATTTGATATTTAAGATTACATCATTGTATGCTAAATTATTTATATTAAAGCTGAATTTTTACCTTTTAGTTAATTAAATTAGTTTTTAGTTTTTCTTAATGAAAATACCACAAAACCTTTTTATTGATTTAATTGAAATGATCAATTTGATTAAATCTTCTTATTTGATTAGGATTCAAATATTTGATATAAGAGTACATCTTACAGCTCAATGAGAGTTCAGATTAAACACATAAATTAAAATGAAACATTTACATGTTAAAAAGGTTGTTTAAAAATTCTTCTTCCTTGTCTTGATTTTATTAACTTTCATATGCTCATAACTCTTCTTCACCTACCTTATGTGCTCCATTATATTAAGTTTATTGATAATATCACAGATCAATTACAACTCTGAATATATATTATATATATAAATGTATAGAGCATTTTCTTTCCCCCCAAACCTCGATCAGGTTAAAGGTAAACTAACTTGTAGAACTTATAATATAAGATAAATCTGTTAAGATGTTTCTCAAGACCTTATACTTAATGTTTCTATATTATATTCTACATTTAAACTTTGAATTTAAGTTTGCTTCAGTCTCATACAAAAGCCTTAAAGTGAAGTTAAACACAGATAATTTACAGTGAATGATGAAACTCAGGTTTATTCCAGTCATCATAATGTTTTATAATCACAAACATTTTGAGTTTTATTAACTTGATGAACTAAAATGTGTTTTTCTTCTCCAACAGGAACTCTGTCGACGTCTTCCAGGAGGATTCCCCGTCGGTGGCCGTCTTCCTGCTCAGGTAGGAGATTCAAAGCTTTCTTAATGTTGTTTTATTATGTTCCAGGTTTTAGGTCTTATAGATGTTTAGACTCAGGTATTTTGATCATTTGACTTCATCCTTTTTGATCAGCTAGAAGTCTATTTAGAGTTGAGGAACATCAGGTGTTTAATGTAAAACTACATTATTATTTTTTAATCTATTAGGTATCGTTAGTCGACAGCTACATAGCATTATGTTATGTTATGTTATGTTATGTTAAAGCTGATTTAAGGAGTTATGACCTCCTTTAGACATGGACATCCAGTGCTGGTATTACTTCCTGATCTAACGTTATCCTGAAGGTAGCATCAGTGTCCTGAATGTTAAAGTTAACTATTTTCCCTGAAAATGATTTGAATCACTTCTCCTTTGACGGGTTAAAGAGAGTTTAACTTTTAACAGGACACTGATGCTACCTCGATCAGGAAGTAATACCAGCGCTGTGTGTCCATGTCTAAAGGAGGTCATAACTCCTTAAATCTGCTCAACATACAAAACTCATAACTCCACCTAAAACCTGGAACATAATAAAACAACATTAAGAAAGCTTTGAGCTCCTACCCAATGGGGGCTGGAGGATAGTGGGGGGGAAGGGGACTGGCTGGATGTAACCCCCTCACCTGTCACACCTTATTGTATTGTGCTGACGTAATGTGTACAAAACACAGAGGTCATCATGTCTGTTCAATATTTTATTGTAATAAAACTACTGCTGTGTCCATTTTGGCACATTTCTTTAGAGTGCTACTCACACGTTTAGCTGTGTTGCACATTCCATGAATGCACAATGCTTACAAGTTATACCTCGTTGTAGGTTTATTCTGCTGTTTATTCTTGTCTGGACAAAATATATAGAAATATAAATCATTTGTTTAACATATATTAAAAAATAAATCTTAAGACTTGAACAAAACAACACACAGATCCAGCAGGAAACATCTGTCTGCATCTGTCTCTGTGGCTCAGGAGATAGATGGAGGACTTGGAGTCTGGAGGTCGTGGGTTCAAATCTGATCAGGACTCAGTGAATTTTAAAGGTGTCGGTCCTGAATGAAAGACTCAAGAGGAGAAACACAGTGAAGCACCTGCCAGTATCGATCCACAGGACACACACCATTATCTTAAAGGTATTGGTCCAAAGGAAAGACACATGATTGATTTCTGAGAAACATAGTCAAGTATCTGTCTCTGTGGCTCAAGAGATAGAAGGAGGACTTGGAGTCTGGAGGTTGTGGGTTCAAGTCTTACCATGACTCAGTGACTTTTAAAGTCTAACATCTGAAATGATGAAGATAAATACGCCCGGAACACATCTCATAGTGTGAAGGTATCGGTAGTGTAGTGGATAAGATTGCGGTTTCCAAACTCTGTAGGTGGTGAGCCTAGGTTCAAATCCCACTGTGTCTGGTGATGGAGGATTGGAATCTTATAAGGCAAATTTTAAAGTGAAAATCTGAAATGACGATGATAAATACGCCCGGAACAAATCTCAAAGTGTGAAGGGACCAGTGGCCAAGTGGAGTTGTCCTGGCATCTGCAATACATGCGCGCTGGTTCAAGTCCAGCTTCTATGGTATCGGTACCTGGAACTGCCAGTTCCCCCTGGTGTTTCATGAGTAACACAAGTACAGGGTTATGAAAATCAAGTGTGTCTGAAGTTTTGTGAACATGTCAGACCCTTTATTTTTAAAAGTGTTGGATGACTTAATGAACTAAATATAGTGTACTAACCTAAATTCATCAATGGTCCATTGTTCCCACCATGACATAAGATTTGATTTATTATATATACACATGGTCAATCATATATCAGGATAATATGGTTCAAAGTTAAAAGGAGCTCAAGTAAAATATGGAGCATCAGTGAAGTCACTAGAGACACTGTTTACATGGATCATTCAGGGAACAGGAAGTTATAAAGGAAACAGGAAGTTCAGGGTTCTTTCTCTAATCTGCACACAGCAAGCAGCAACAGAAATGTAAGTTCCTGTACTTAAGTTAAGGTTTAGCATTAGCATGTAGCTTAGCATTAGCAACAACTTGTATTAGTTTATTGTTTGAATTTATACAGAACTTTGGTAATGACTAAACTTCTTGTGTCTTGTAGTTTTCACTCCTTCAATCTGGTGAAGAAATGAAAAGAGGAGATCATCTCTTTGCTCCCTTCAGGTGCAGCTCCTGCAATTCAAACACAAAGTTTACATTTAGTTTAGACCAACAAAGTTTACATTTAGTTTAGACCAACAAAGACAAAGTTTACATTTAGTTTAGACCAACAAAGACAAAGTTTACATTTAGTTTAGACTAACAAAGTTTACATTTAGTTTAGACCAACAAACACAAAGTTTACATTTAGTTTAGACCAACAAAGTTTACATTTAGTTTAGACCAACAAAGACAAAGTTTACATTTAGTTTAGACCAACAAAGTTTACATTTAGTTTAGACCAACAAAGTTTACATTTAGTTTAGACTAACAAAGACAAAGTTTACATTTAGTTTAGACCAACAAAGACAAAGTTTACATTTAGTTTAGACTAACAAAGTTTACATTTAGTTTAGACCAACAAAGTTTACATTTAGTTTAGACTAACAAAGACAAAGTTTACATTTAGTTTAGACCAACAAAGACAAAGTTTACATTTAGTTTAGACCAACAAAGTTTACATTTAGTTTAGACCAACAAAGTTTACATTTAGTTTAGACTAACAAAGACAAAGTTTACATTTAGTTTAGACCAACAAAGACAAAGTTTACATTTAGTTTAGACCAACAAAGTTTACATTTAGTTTAGACCAACAAAGTTTACATTTAGTTTAGACTAACAAACACAAACGTTACATTTTAGTTTAGACCAACAAAGTTTACATTTAGTTTAGACTAACAAACACAAACTTTACATTTTAGTTTAGACCAACAAAGTTTACATTTAGTTTGAACTAACAAAGACAAAGTTTACATTTAGTTTGAACTAACAAAGACAAAGTTTACATTTAGTTTACACCAACAAAGTTTACATTTAGTTTACACCAACAAAGACAAAGTTTACATTTAGTTTAGACTAACAAAGATAAAGTTTACATTTAGTTTAGACTAACAAACACAAAGAGGTTCCTCATGGAGGAGCACAGCATGACTCATGTGAGTAGAAATGAAAAGGTCTGGTTCATCTATCTGTAGAGAAGGTTAAAAATGTCTGACTTGAAATAAAAACTGTTTTTTTAAGTTGTTCAAGTTGTTTCAATCGTCTTCTTTGACATGTCATGACTCATCGTGTGTGTGTGTGTGTCGCTCTGACTCACCAAACTCACAATACTGAAGGCTGCAGAGAAGACAGATACGGCGGCTACATGCTAATGCTAAGCTACATGCTAATGCTAAGCCACGTGGTATGCTACATCAGATGCAATACGTCACAAATTATAACAAGGCTAATGTTAAGCTACATGCTAATGTTAAGCTACATGCTAATGCTAAGCTACATGCTAATGCTAAGCCACGTGGTATGATACATCAGATGCAATACGTCACAAATTATAACAAGGCTAATGTTAAGCTACATGCTAATGTTAAGCTACATGCTAATATTAAACTTTAACTTAAGTGCAGAAACTTACATTTCTGTTGCTGCACGCTGTGTGCAGATTAAAGAAAGAATCCTCAACTTCCTGTTTCCTTTATAACTTCCTGTTGATAAATCCAGAGCACTTCCTGTTAATAACCAGAGCACTTCCTGTTGATAAATCCAGAGCATTCCTGTTAATAACCAGAGCACTTCCTGTTGATAAATCCAGAGCACTTCCTGTTGATAAGAGCATTCCTGGAGCACTCCTGTTGATAAATCCAGAGCACTTCCTGTTGATAAATCCAGAGCTACAGATTCACAGATATAAGAAGACCGAGGAGTTCAGATGAAAAGAAACAAAGCTACATGGACAGACAGGTGATCATTCAAATGATTTCGTCTGCTTGCGTTGGATGTTTCTCGATCTTCTCCTGAGTCCATTTGAACTTTTGTGATCTGTTGCTTTGGTAACCTCAGCATCGTTAACAAAAACAGGCCAATCAGAGTCCACATTTTGAAGGTCTCGGTCTGGGACTAGAAGGAAAAAACATCAAATAACTTCAGTCCCCGGTTACGACCACAACCTTCCTGGTGTTACGGTCCAAGTGAGTAAAACGTCCCCTGCACACACACATATTTGTGACTCTGTGTGGTCTTAGTGTGCTCTTGACTACAACACTACCCTCAGCTGAGTTCAGACAAGGAGGACCAAAAGCTGTTGGGTTTTTAAATGACATGACACTTTAAATGGGGGGATGAAATACTCACACCGTGTCCTGGAGGCCCTTCAGATCCTCTGATCGTTCAGCAGTCTGGACACAAAATGTGGATGAATTGAGGACACACAGACTAATGAATAATGGAGATGTGATGTGTTAGCTGGTACATACATGAGCTTCTGTAGTGTTGCATCTTTCTCCAGCTGTCTGTCATGAGTCTGCTCCAGTAACAGGCCCTGGTTCAAACAAAAAGGAGGAAAATAAAATGTATAATGTGGCCAGAGTTAATGTTGATGTCTGCTTGATAAAATCTGGCACTTCTAATTGAAGTAGTTTATGATTGTAAATGAATGAGCTCGTCCATCATCCTCTGCTGGTCTTGGATCTGGTGTCTGAGGCGGCTGAGCTGCTTGTGGTGCCTCCAGAGTTTTGTGGATTTGTGTCTCACTTGATGTCCTCGTCTCCATCATGTCTCCTTGTCATTGGCCTGAATGTTTGTGTGGGCGTCGGCCTGCGTGCTCTCCAGCTGTTTGCTGCGGTTCACCAGAGACTTGACCTCAGACTTCATCTTGCTGATGTAGAGCCGAGCTACGGTGAACTCCTCCTCCACCGCTGAGCCGCTCCCCCTGTATGTTTCTGCAGAACTCAAGATGAACACTTTAAACATATCTGTACCGTCTTGTGCTCGTCTGCCAGCTGCAGGTCGGTCTGATCTCTCTCCTCCACCTCTTGGCTCTTCTGGTCGTAGTTGACGGCGAGCTCCTCCAACGCCTGCAGCACCTCCTTCACCTCCTCCTTGGCCAGCTGGTTCTCCGTTTGCAGCCAGCACAGCTCCTCCTTGGAGGGACGTGGGGTCAGAGTGAGTTCATGCAAAAATGATCATCCTTATGAAATCCATGTTTAAATGAAAATACTTGATATTTCTTTTGTATTTCATAGGCTGAGAGACAAACCTCTTCTTGGTCCATCTTCTGCTCCCTGAGTTTCTCAACCAGACTCTGTTGGTTGATCTCATCATCCTGTGAATTATTACAAGAAAGGGACATCAAGTAATAATAATTGAGAAAATGAAAGTATTTGTATTTAGAATCTTTAAGCAGGTTGTCTTCAAACTGTGCTTCTAATGTTGTGTCTTGTCTTTGACTTTAGTCTATTCTTGTCATCCAGCTGTTTGTACAGGTTGCTCCTCCTCGTATTTGATCCACTCGTGGCAACAATATTATTTGACTTTTCTTTCACAAAGGTAAGAAGTATTTTCAGTTGAAAAAAACAGTTAGTTAATTTAAAATGAGTAATGTATCAGAATGGCCCATTTACTTTTCACATATTGTTCAATCCTAGCTGTAAATGAGCCATAGATGAAACTAAAATTCTGTGATAGTCCTTTTTAACTTGTAAATGTTTCCTTTTAATTTATGTTTAATCTAAACTACCTCAATGAGCTGTAAGAAAAATAAAATAAAATAAAAATAAAAATAAATTCAAACAAATTGATCATTTCAATTAAATCAATAAAAAGGTTTGTGGTATTTTCATTAAGAAAACCAAAGGAAAATAAACTAATTAAATTAAAAGTTTGAAAAGTAAAGGTAAAAGGTAAAAATGCAGCTTTAACATAAATAATTTAGCAAACAATGATGTAAGACTCTAATTAAAAGTTAAAGGTTTAAAATAAATACATTATATCGTTTATAAATCACTTTATATAGAGAGGGCGCCCTCTGGTGGTTAGTTGTTGGTTACTGCACTTAAATAAGAAATGAATCAGACTGCTGTTTCTTTGAGTAAATCAAATACAGAAGGCTGGATGAAGAGATTGTTGTCTTAGTTTACCTGTTAGCTTTTTTGGTTGACTTGTTAGCTGTTGTTTTATTTACCTTTTAGCTGTTGTTTAGTTTTATTTACCTTTTAGCTGTTGTTTTATTTACCTTTTAGCTGTTGTTTAGTTTTATTTACCTTTTAGCTATTGTTTTATTTACCTTTTAGCTGTTGTTTAGTTTTATTTACCTTTTAGCTGTTGTTTTATTTACCTTTTAGCTGTTGTTTAGTTTTATTTACCTTTTAGCTGTTGTTTTATTTACCTTTTAGATGTTGTTTAGTTTTATTTACCTTTTAGCTGTTGTTTTATTTACCTTTTAGATGTTGTTTTATTTACCTTTTAGCTGTTGTTTTATTTACCTTTTAGCTGTTGTTTAGTTTTATTTACCTTTTAGCTGTTGTTTTATTTACCTTTTAGATGTTGTTTTATTTACCTTTTAGCTGTTGTTTAGTTTTATTTACCTTTTAGCTGTTGTTTTATTTACCTTTTAGATGTTGTTTTATTTACCTTTTAGCTATTGTTTTATTTACCTTGTAGATGTTGTTTTATTTACCTTTTAGCTGTTGTTTAGTTTTATTTACCTTTGAGCTGTTGTTTTAATTACCTTTTACCTTACAGCTGAACTGTACCTGTAGGTCTGTCTTGATGAGCGAGGCTCCTGCTTGGACCAGATAATGACAGATAGTTCTTTGAGACAGGGACGCAGCTCAGTGAAGGACCGTCTCCCCCCTGGTCAACAGAGAGAACAGACATCAACAGTGGCCCCCCTGCTGCTTCTTTTGGTGTCTTGTGTTTATGATGGCACATATATCATCACATATAGACTGAACAGAGATCAGAGCACAGATACAGACACAGGCAGTTTGAAAGCATCATCATCTACACTCCGTTAACATTTAAATAAAGTGTTTAGCATTTTAAAAACCTCATGGTTTCAGTTCAATGTTAGATGTTTTCAAGCACAAATATAATCTGTACTTACTGCAGTTTTTCTGTAACCACTAAAAACTACTTAAAAGGCCGGGTTGGTGATTTTCTCCAGATCTTTTTAAGATTGTGGTTGAAATTGTCTTTTGATCCTGACAATGCAGGCAATGAGCTGAGGTCTGCTTCTGGGGTGGGTGCAGACAGAGCACTGAGGGAATGCTACTTTTAGAAAATGATCAACCCTGCCTTTAACCCAGACAAGACTCTCTCTTACCTGCTTTTTGTGTCTTGAGATAACATTTGTATTGAGTTGGCGCTCTACAAAATAAAGATTGATTGAACTGACTTTTTGTTTTACAAGCCTGTCATTGAAAGTTTCCCATTTATTCAAACACTAAAATACAGAAAGAAAAAAAACCATCATATTCCTATTTTGAAACAAACTACATACATTCATTAATGGTTAAAAAAAACAACTACTAAGGATTCTTTAAATGAGCTACACATGGTGCAATGGCACCCCCTGTTGGCCTGTCAGAGACTGCTACAGGAAGTGACTCATCAAGCCCTGCCTATAAAGGAAGCAGGAAGTTAAGGGTTCCTTCTTTCATCTTCAAGGCTGCACACAGCAGGCAGCAACAGAAATGTAAGTTTCTTCACTGGACTGAAGTTAACAACTAAGCTTTCTTTTGTCCTGTATTAGTTTATTGTTTATTGTAGAACTTTGGTTATGACTAAACTAAATGTTCTTGTGTCTTGTAGTTTTCACTCCTTATTCAATCTGGTGAAGAAATGAAAAGAGGAGTTTGTCTGACTGTCAACCTACGAGCACCAAACACGTGGAGGACTGTACACACACCTGTGGAGGATGTAGAAGACCATCTCTTTGCTTCCTGCACTGGCAGCGTGATGACGTAACCTGCAGCCGGACGAGTCGAGTGACGTCAGGTCGGCTCCCTCCAGGTGGGGCTCCCTCCAGGTGGGGCTCCCTCCAGGTGGGGCTCCCTCCAGGTGGGGCTCCCTCCAGGTGGGGCTCCCTCCAGGTGGGGCTCCCTCCAGGTGGGGCTCCCTCCAGGTGGGGCTCCCTCCAGGTGCGGCTCCCTCCAGGTGCGGCTCCCTGCAGCTGATGATTCAATTCAAAGACACATGTGAGTATGTAGAAATGAGGTGCAAAGGTCTGTAGTGAGAGATGAAACTGTCACTCACCTTCTTTAAGTCCTTGTTCTTCACACACTCAACCAGCAGCTCTAGAGAGAGAGGATGTTAAAAACCACAGATAATTAAAGTTATTATCAGTGTTCTGTATGATGAGCTTCAAGGTCTTGGTCCTCAAAAGGATTTGATTGACTTCTCCTTTTGGGTGACAGATTTATCGGCTAACAATAAACATGTAAACTACTTTAACTAAATAAAACACAGCTGGCAGATAACCAACGACATTAAGGACTAATGCACTACAGCTGAACCTGATCACAGATGTAACCTCTCTCTCTCTCTCTATCTCCCAAAAGAACAGGCCCAATGTGACATGATGAACAAACTTAATGTTAACGTTCATGAATCAGTCCATTTTTATTCACTTGTCTCCAAACACTTTACAATAACTAACATTGTTAAGTTTAAACTAATTGTGATGTGTTTTTTTGTTGTAACTTTTAGGGGCAGCCTGACCAAAACAAGACAAAGAGCTGTTAACATGTCGGCTACACCACGCTGCCTCACCTGCTTCCTTCAACATTTGGTGAGTATTTTTCTTGGCTCTTGTGTTTATTTTAACTGTTTCAGTCACATATAGTCATATTCTTGATTTTATTCGTAGGGCAAAATGTAAATGATGCTACAAACGTTTAAATTTTAATCTTAACACTCTTTGTTGTAGATGTAGAGATTCTTTTGACTTAATTAAATGATTAAAAATGAGTAATGTATCAGAATGGCTCATTTTACAATCCTAGCTGTAAATTACCCATAGATGCAACCTGAAATGAACTTCAAACCCTGATGTATTTGTTTCCTATATTCCAGGTGTTTCCTCGCTCTGAACTGTGAAGAGTAGGATCTGTGCTGCAGCTGGAAGGATTTTCTTCAGATTAAAGTTTACTTGTTAGCTGTTTTAGTTTTCTTTCAGTCATAGTTTGTTTTTATCTTTCAGCTATAGATTTAGTTTAAAGTCTGTTTTCTTTCATTTTCATTTGCAGTTTTCTCTTCAAACACTGATAACACAATTTAATAATTCTTAATTTGTTTCATGTTTGTGTTGTCAGCATCTTTAATTCCTAATAGATGTTTTGTTGTAGTTGTTTCCTTCTTTGTCACAAAGCTGTGACATGTCTTCATTTGAAGTTTGGATTTTTTTTATAATATTGATAAATTTCCATTGACAACATGCTTACTGGGTAGATAACCACAGACAAGTTTCCTCAGAACAATGAAAGCTGTAAGCTACTATAAATAAAACACACCTGGCAGATAACCAGAACATAATTACAGAAGTCACTGATGCAGAGTGGACAGCAGTAGTTTTATTACAATAAAATATTGAACAGCCATGACCTCTGTTTTTTGTACATGTTACATAAGCACAACACAATAAGGCATCACAGGCGTCCCCATTGGGTAGGAGCTCAAAGCTTTCTTAATGTTGTTTTGTGTTCCAGGTTTAGGTCTTATAAACGTTTAGACTCAGTTATTTTAATCATTACATCCTTGTTATAGTGGAGGAACATCAGGTGATTAATGAAATAAGGATTATAAAAATGTAGTATTTCATTAAACACCTGATGATCCTCCACTCCAAAAAGGATGAAATGATTAAAATACCTGAGTCTAAACATCTATAAGACCTAAAACCTGGAACATAATAAAACAACATTAAGAAAGCTTTGAGTCTCCTACCTGAGCAGGAAGACGGCCACCGACGGGGGATCCTCCTGGAAGATGTCGACAGAGTTCCTGTTGGAGAAGAAAAACACATTTTAGTTCATCAAGTTAATAAAACTCAAAATGTTTGTAATTATAAAACATTATGATGACTGGAATAAACCTGAGTTTAATCATTCACTGTAAATTATCTGTGTTTAATTTCACTTTAAGGCTTTTGGATGAGACCGAAGCAAACTTAAATTCAAAGTTTAAATGTAGAATATAATATAGAAACATTTAGTATAAGGTCTTAAGAAACATCTTTACCATACATTAACTGTCACAAGAACAAAGACTCTAATTAAAGTTAAAGGTTTAAAATAAATTAATCAGACTGTTGTTTCTTTGAGTTTGAATTAAACACAGAAAACTGGATTAAGAGCTTTTACTCTGAAATTAAATAAAGAAGTTTATTCATAATACTTTATCAAGATGAACATTTAATCTCTGAGCTCTGAACAGTAATGTTTAGAAAATCATTTTACCTCGGATTAACTAATTTACATATTAGTCAATAAACTTAAATTGAGGTTATTGTTTTATTTAAACTCTTCAATCTGATATTAGTTTAAATTATAAGTTTTGTTTTTAAAGTTTACTTTTACCCGGTGTTTAAACAATTAGTTTAACAGGAGAAAACAAGTTCAAAAGTTACCTTCATAATGTTGATAAATGTTATCATCATCTTACTTTGACGATGTTTCCTCTTAACAAACATTTAGCATGAGCATTACCCCACGTGTTAGCATTAGCATACAGCCCCACGTATTAGCATTAGCATACAGCCCACGTGTTAGCATTAGCATACAGCCCCACGTGTTTCTATTTTGTGGCTTTTCACACAAAACTGAACTTTTAAAGACTCACTCAGTATCTAGACTTCATCTCTCCTTCCCCGGCTCCTTCTTCTTCCACCGCTTTGATCCACAGCCAGGCTGCCCGCGGTCCGCACCGCTTACCTGCTCGAAACAATGATATACACACCTGAGAACACCTGAACACACCTGGGCGTGATTACCGGAAGCTTCAACCGGAAGTGTCGCAGAAAGTTTCTATGGAAGAAATGAAAAAGTTATAAATAAGAGGACACATAAACAAGACTAAGTCAAAAATCAAATGTTTTATTGATAAAAAAAAATATTTATTAATGTAATTTACTTGTTTTTATGTTTTTTTAAAACTTTGAACTCTTGGTAACCAAGCAACATGAGAAAGTCAAACTCGGGTCACCATGGTAACTAACTGCATTCGTTAGCAGGGGACGAAGCTAACCTGTTTTCCGGTCTTTAGGACACTGACTGAATTGTTACTCACAGATAAATTCACTGCTGAATGATGTTTACCTCCAGTTTCTCTCTTCCTCTCCCTGTCGTTCTCCAAAGTGTCTAAGAAGCAGATAAATGAAGACACGGGATGAGTGAAAACTTTGTACTGAAGCTCCGAAGTTAGTTTGAGATACTAATGTGTAAAGATGGAGTTTAAAGGTGAAACTGCGCCCTCCTGTGGTCACTCTGTGAATTACTGCATTTGGAAGTTTTGTTTTTTTCACCTTTCTTGTTCTAGATACAAATTCAAACTGCTTTCTTTGTTTTATTTCTTTATGAATAAATGTGACTGTAATCATCAATGAGAGTCCTGGTTGTGTACCCTGGGCTCGGAGGTCAGCATGTTGTACCAGAGGATGGAGGCCCAGCCGCTGGGCAGCTGACAGACGTTAGAGATGACAACAACAGGCAGGGACATTGTTGGCCTACAACAACAAAAACAGCAACAAACATCAGGAAATAATCATAAACAAACTCATAAACTCTATAGTTTGACTGTAGTTACTAATCCTGTCCACTAGATGGCAGCCAAACTATGCTGTTTCATTTAACATCCAATATTTCCCCACTTCCGGTCGGGGTCGATGGGGACAGTGTACCAACGATTTGTAGTCTAAAAATAAGACCATTTTAGTTTAAATAAAATAAATACCTTCGATTGTCGACAGAATAGCTAATGCTTCATTTTTCAAGACATATATGAGCTAACTACGCTCTCAAGAGTGGGAAAAAATAAAATGTTTTTTAAAACACAAATGTAGTTCCACATTTTGTCCATTGGGGGCAGTATAGACACAACAAGCAGTGTAAAGATGGAGAATCTGGAAGATTTACACTAAAAGCTTTAAACACTTTAAATTATAATCAAAATATTTTTTATTTTCTTTCTTTTACTACCGACACACACACACACACACACACACACACACACACGCGCACACACAAACACACGCGCGCGCACGCGCACACACGCACACACACACACACACACGTATCTATAACAGGATTTTGTCCAGTACCAGAAGCTCACTGCAGGGGATTTATGTATGAAAGTCTGTCGTCTAATCTAAAGTGTGTCACATTGATAGATGAAGCAGACACACTCTGCTATACTAGAAATAATATAGATTTTAATGTAGTGCAATATTGATTCAATTAGTTTAAGGGTTAAAAAAATTCTAAATGATTTTTCCTGACATGTTTTATATGAGGAGACTTGGCAGGTAGAATAACTGTGTTTTTAAAAGTGTAAAAGTATTTCTCTTCCCTGCACATGTTTCTGGTAAATTCATTCATTTACACATTGTAGAGATGTTATTACTTCTTCTTAAATTTACACTTTTCATTCTACACACTGACTTGGTTTCTCTAGGATGTACAGAAGAGATTGTTCGGGCCCATCTGGCGCTCCAGGTTCGGTCCGTTTGACATCGTTAATGTGGCGACTCCAGAGCTCATAGCTCAGGTAATCCGACAGGAGGGTCGGCATCCAGTTAACATTTACTTATGTGCTTTGAATATTTTACTCACTGATATTCATAAAGGTTGAATGTTATTGTTATTGTTGAACCTTTATTTTACTGTGTAATTTTACATTATTGTATTTTTTTACATTATTATATTTTTTTACATTATTGTATTTTTTTTATTTAAATGATGTAAATATGTTTGATCTGTTTTTAACTTCTATTTTATTTTTTATAAGTATATTCCCGTCCCCTGTTTTCTGGAGCTGCTGTAATGCACAAATTTCCCCCACGGGGATCAATAAAGTTTATCTTTATCTTTCTACTCGAAAGATCATTGAGGGGCAACCCTCATTTACAATGACATCGAGTAATTGCAGAAATAATTTAAAACAGACATTAAATCAAAAATAAAAACAGGGGACAGATAATACAAGACTGCTAAAATCAGTCTACAAAAGGTTAAAATGTACTAAGATAATTAAGCGAGTACAAAACTGCAATAAAAAAACACACTTATGTAAAACAGTTACAAACAGAGGTTGGGAGGCTTAAAATCAGGTTTCTAAAATGCCCAAAAGGTTAGAGTTCATTCCCCTCAAGAAGATGCTGTATGTTGTTCCATGAGTCCGGTGCAGAATAAGAAAAAGCAGATTTTCCCAGTTCCGATCTGACTCGAGGAACATTGAACAGTAAACGTCTTGAGGAACGTGTCTGGTAACGCCCAGTCGAGAGATGGATAAGTTCTGTCAAAATGTGATCATTACATGACAGGGGGCATTATAAATGTTCTGACCTGTAGGTTCCTCTTAATCTCGCGGATGTTGTGTTGTAGCAGGAAGTTGTTTTCCAGGGCGAAGCGGCTATGTTGGTCGTCGAGCTGAGCCAGGAGGTCGTGGAACTGAACTGTGGCTAAGGAATCCTGCATCGCCACTGTGTCCCTGAAGAGGCACGGAGCACAAGACAAATGAGGCTCTGATCTCTATTCTTGAAAAGTAAAAACTTTTGTTCTACTTTACAAAAAAACCCCTCTCACCAGTCGATGCTGTCGATCTACTTGCTCAGGTATTGCCTGATGTCCATGGGGAACGAGTCATCGTAAAGCTGCTCCACCTGCTCCAGGTACTTGCAGTCCAGCATCTGAAGCTGGTTCCACTGCGCCATCTTCTGGTGAACAAAAGCAGATTCATCCAGTGTTAAGAGCTCGGACTTAAAGTTCGTTTAGGTACATTACTTTTTTAAAAAGATTGAATAAAAAGTAGAACTCAGAGGAAAAATAATAATCTGTGTGAACTCTAAAATAAAGAAACTATTTAAGGTTTACGCAATGTCTGAAATTATGATTATTGTTGGAGCTATTTAATTGGGCATAAAATTAGTTTTTGTATTTAGTTTACTAATATTTGGGTGTGTTGTTTATTTAATTATTCTACACGTTTTCTTTATTTAAAAAAAGACTTTGGGTAACGTTTTCTTTTTGCTAGTTATTTGTTTAGTAAATTTAGTTTTGTATTAGTATTTTGTTAGGTATTTGGTGTAATACTGTGGGCACCGGAGATTATTTAAATCAGAGGCAGGTGGAGGACCGGCATGCACCTGGGTGGGCCTATTGTTTTTTATCAGGTCAAGAGAGGCAGCGGATTTTGGATGGATGAACGGCACAGATTGTTTTTTCAAACTTTTGGAATCAGCGTCAGAAGGAAACCGGCTTCTGGCCCAGATCGACACAACGTTCAGCCTCCTCACAAGAAACTGGTATGTGACACGACTGCTGTATTGGAAAATGGCCAAACGATTGGAGTTTGAATGTCAGTGTTTTCACGTTAAAGTGCCAAGTTTATGAAGTTTGAGGAGTTGGACGGCGCAGAACGCCGCGTGTTATTATTACGCAACACTTTTACGCAAGACTGTCGGCTGCTTCCATTGACAATTAACCCGACTGCAGAGTGTGTCTTTGTGTTGAAAACTGGATCTGATCGGCCAATAAACCAGTTATGTTGGTCGAAAGCTTTTGGCCTGCTTTTGTGTCTCATTGTGGATGTTGATTGCTGCGCAACAAGCAGTTTAAAAAAAAAAAAACCGCTAACATGGATGATGTTGCTGTAAATGATGTTGAAATGTCGTCAAAAAAGAAAGAAAAGAAACATTAAAATCACTTCTAAAGGCTTGTGCTTCTACACACAAATGTGCCAGGAAAAAAGGAGTGCAAAATGTAAACAAGCCAGGAAGTGTGGAGAAAAAATTCGCGTGTTAATGGAGTCAAGTGAAAATGTCAGTTCTGTCAACTCCGAGCTTGTCACGTTCATTCAGTGTCATCAAGATGCAGCTCACATGCACGAAGCTTTAATCAAGCTGCCCTTGCCACAAGATGAACTGACAAAACAAAGTAAATACTTCGAAGAAAAAATGACAAAGTTCGGTGAATTCACAAAAGGGGTTAAAAACTGGCCGTCTGAAAAGGGTCATCCTTATGTGACAGAAAGAGACACTCCCGACGAAAAGGATTTTGCAGATGATATAAACCCTGAAGACAGTGCTACTAATGTGTCACGTGTAAAATCAAATTCTGTGAGGACTCGTTCTCATTCATCACGGACCTCATCAGCCTCTTCTGCACGCATTAAAGCCAAGGTCAACAAGGCAGCTCGAATTGAGCGTGTTGCTGCTTTAAAAGCGAAACATGAAATAGAAGCTCAAGAGGAAAAGCTGAGGAGAGAAAAGGAACAACTGGAACTTGAAACGGAACTGGCTGTAACAAATGCAAAGCTTCAGGTCTTGGAAATAAATTCATCAGAGTGTGGCTCAAAATATTCAGATGGCATGAAGTCTTACTTTAAAAGGAACTATTCTCAAAAGGTCAGTGCATTAAATCCCAATGCTGACACCTTTGCACCAGTAATTGAAGAAAATGTTAATGTTATTGCTGGACTTGATACCATCTTTCATCCACAAGATGTTAAGCACAAACAAAGACAAGAAACACAAAAGGATGAGATGTTACAGCTTCATGCTCCAGTAAAAGTGACTGAAACTGCTAATGAACATCAAACAGGACTTGTATGTAAGCAGACTGACAACTATCAGAATGACATTGTAAACATAATGCAGAGACAAAATGATATTACTTCTCTGCTGGTCCAGCAAAATCTGAGTTCTATTCTCCCATCAAGAAACATCCCGGTATTTGATGGAGACCCTCTTCAATACAGGTCTTTCATAAGAGCTTTTGACAATGGAGTGGAGGAGAAAACAGCCAATTGGAGCGACTGCTTGCATTTTCTCGAACAGTACACCAGGGGGCAACCAAGGGACTTGGTGCACAGCTGTCAACATCTGCCTTCAGAAATTGGATACCATAGAGCCAAAGGTCTTTTAGCAGAGCATTTTGGAAATGAATACAAAATTGCAGCTGCCTATATGGATAAGATTCACAACTGGCCACCTGTTAAAAGTGAGAATACTAAAGCGCTACAATCATTCTCACTGTTTCTTCGAGGATGCTCAAATCTAACGGAGCAAATGATGCAAATGAAGGAATTGGACTTACCTTTTAACATGAGGAGCATCATCTTAAAACTGCTTTACAAATTCAGGGAAAGATGGAGAAGTGTTGCATGTGATCTTCAAGAGCGTAGTGGCCGCAGAGCAATGTTTATTGATCTTGTTGGCTTCATTGAAAAGCAAGTTAGAGTTGCCTCAGACCCACTTTTTGGCAACATTCAGGACTCACAAACCACCAACTCCAAGGTCTCCAACACTAAATATTCACAGCAAAGAAAAAGGGAAAGCAGTTTTGCTACTAA